CTTTAGCTCTTTAAATGAATGATAATGTGATTATCCTTTGACTTGGTGATTACACGTAACTATTGTCCCAACTGATAGATATCCCAGCTAAGATGCCGCAAGTATAAAAAGACTGAACACTCTACGCCAGAGGTACACAACCTTTTCGGGACTGCGAACCCCCAAAGCTTCTGAGTGCCCTCCGGCGACCCCCGCCTTAACTATTTTTGGAGCTCTCCGAGGCTCTGTAGCCGCCAGACATTTCCCCACAACCTCCAGTCTGTGCACCTCTGCTCTACACAAGTGAAAACCACTATGTTGTTAGCAGGTGTCTTGCGAAACGCAAGAAAGACTTGGCAAACTTTTAAATATCAATTTTAAGACCAGCAGGATCAAGGTGTCAACTGGCAGGCTTTAGAAGTCTTGAGAAACAGCCAACTGGGGTGTTTTGAACACAATACACTTTGTTTGCTTCCTTTTCTAGCAAAGAAAGAAAGCCCATGAAATATAGGGTGGTTCAAGCCACCAGGCTCGATCTGAAATGGACCGTAAAAATCAATGCCTGCACGTAACAATCTAAACTTTTCGTCAGCGGTGTATTTCACAGGTCGGTTTTTTCTTGTAAAATTATAAAGCGTAGTTCTCGTTCTGTAAAAAATAAGGCCAAGAAACTTGCCAGGGTCTACGGCGGGCAGCGACGTAAACGAGAGGGGTTCATTAGCGGGATGTGTTTGGCATTCGTATCGATAGATGGCGTCGGGAGCAGCCTCCGAAGTTGCAGCCGACCAGTGAAAGAAAGCAGACGACACGCAGACGAAATCCGTTGACAGCAAAAGCGCCACCGTTATACAGACACGTTTTTTTTACTCTAAGTTTTGCTTTTATTGTCCGCATTTATTTTTTAACCGAAGGTACATTTCAAAAAGATTATGCCCATTTTAACAAACCACGGTGGTCACGAGCCGTTGCGATAAGGAGGGAGCGCCATCTATCAATACAAATGCCAAACACATCATGAGTTTTCTTTTGTTTTAGTTTTAGTAATTTTCACCTTCATAAACCATGTACACAGCATTCATATTTTATTTGGTTTCATCAATATTCGATTCATGTTTGATTTGGTTACATCACTATTTGCACACCCCTAATCTTGTTACTTCATAAAACTTGTAGGTATGCTCTTTACTGACGGTCTCAAATTGAATTTTCTAGATGTTCTCGGTCGCCCATTTTATGAAGACTGATGACGTGGCCGTGGTTCCAACACGCTGGATTAAGAACGGGACAGCTCCCTGGCCACCGTTTAAAAATACTGCAAAAGTGAACAGTGCAGTGAGGGACAGAACGGAGCCAGGCAAAGACTGGCCAAAATTTGCCTGCAGGGTCATGTCATATACAGGTAAGCTCCGCCCTGAACGCCATTAGTTTTTTTTTTTCATTCTGAAGAGAGCACTGCTCTATTGAAAGTTATTACAATCCACACTTTCGCAGAATCTACAAAAGAGAAGGGGGTTTGGTTGTGAAATAATTCTTAAAGTACATATCATATCTGACTCCCTTTTTTTAGTTACTATGGTAACGGTACTATAGACCTCCCACTGCCTATGTTAATAGGACACATTGGTAACAGCTTGATAGCTACAAAAAGGCAGCATATGCTTCATTAGCAGAAGCTACGTACAGCTTAGACAAAACTCAGCAAAATATAATGCCTCACATTCAACGCACATTTTTTATTAATTCATTATCTACATAACATCTGACTTGCAGACAGTTACGAAGTTGCCCGCAAGAGGTCCATAAAGGCGGAGGAAGAGTCCGACCTTACATCGGAAGCAGAGACATCGCAAAAAAGAATACGGCGACCTCCGACATTTTTCGATGACTACCTCACTGACAGCAGCGATGAGGAGGGAGTAACTGAAGAACCACCTCCAGAAGGTGACATTGAATTTCTCGCTGAGCCCCCACCGCCACCACCTCTTCAAAGAAAAAGTGGAGCACATTGTGGAGGAGCAGGCCAAACTGATGGTGGCAAGTCCTTTTTTCTTACACGTGTTTTGAAGGAAATGGTTTACATGAACAAATACTAGTGATAAAGTGAAATGCACAAGGTAATCAAAACAAAACTACAGATCATGTATTTCACACTTCGAATGTTTGTAATCTAGAGTTGAGAAAAGGCCTTCCTAGACCCACGTGCAGGCTGTTATGTACACAGTGCGACACTTTTAGCATGAACATGACATCGGCGCTTTTTTGTGCTTTGCTCAAGCTGTGAAACCCTTATGGGCCCTTTTCACCGCATTAGTAATTTTGGTGATATCACCTGATTTGTGTAAGTAAAGCGAGTAAACCCGACGATGTTGTGTTTGTGCTAACAGCGTCGCATAGTGTACAGTATGGGCATGGTATAGATCAGGGGTGGGCAAACCGCGGCTCGCGAGCCGCATGCGGCTCTTTGCTGGTCCAAGTGCGGCTCGCGGATCCCTCGTAAGAGGACTCCCCCCCCCCCCTTCGCCCCTTTCCGCGTTTCCCCAAGAAAAAAAAGAAGAAAGGATTCCAGAATAAAGCACACTGCAGCTTGCAGTTTGACAGCCTTGTACTCCCATCCAAGGAAATACGCAACTGTGACATAGCAGTTCAACTGCTCATCCTTGTTATTACTTATGCATTGCTTGTGGTTTTTCAGATGACTTGGTGTTGCCCAAAGGAAGACCAAAAAGTGCATCTTCTTTGAACTGCTCTGCTGAACCTTCAAGCAAAGGCAAGTATATTTTGTGACTGACAGAAGAGTTAGGATGTATGTGCACTTTTGACACATGAACCTGTAAAAAGTAACTTCACTTAGTTACAAGTTTCTGGAAAATGTACCTAAAATACAGCAGGGGTGGAATAGCTGTACCATTTGCGCCAGACGCATATGTCTGCGCCATCCTGAAACATGTTGTGGAAACTGCGCCACAGCCAATACCTCGTGCCATTATGCACCAAAAGAATTGTATTTTGTCTTGGTTCCGGTTTTTATCGACCCGATTCGCAACAATGAGCGCATTTAGCTTGGTCGGCCTTGCACTCCTTTGCTCTGTTTATTCTCCCTGTGTATCTCGAGTCAGAAGCGCACGAAAAAAATTGGGGGTCAGACTCCAAGCGCTACACCACCTGCTTCTGGATTGTTATCCTTCAACCATAAGCGGTTAAAGGGCAACTCCGCTCAATTCCGAAGATTTCGGGATAATGAGTGATTTCGAATTAAAAAGCCCTAGTAAAACACACTACGTTGTTTGCTTTGCGAAAAGTGGGCTATATATTTTTAAATCTAATTTTAAACACGAGCTGAAATCGAAACCGAAACTTCGGCTCTGCCCGGCAACATTGGCCTCGGGCCGCCAAGTACATGGCCATCACGTGGTACGAGATGTCACGTGATCCTCGGCCCAACGACGGGCGGGATTGGGGCGGGCGTGTGGCAGGCGCGAGTGTCGTCTGCACCGCACTCTTCGCCACGTTTTGGTGTCTACGGCATTCGACGACGTCTGCACAACTGCGGCATAAGTCTGCGCACATGGTGTCCGTGGTGTGGATGAAACTCCGAGAGACAATAATCACAATCGGTGAGACGACGACGGCGGTTGTGACGCGGAAGACGGCGGTAACGGCGGGCGGCCGGACGGCTCCCAAGAAACGCGCTGCGCGGGCGCGTTACACCAATCATGTGGACACCGCTGAGCGCCGAGAGGCAACGTTGCTGACGTCATGCGCTACGCTCGCGCGGAGAAGTGAAAACAAGCAAAAGGGGGCCATGATAATGACGTTTAGCTCAATGTTGGCTCCGCCCATGCCATAGCCTTGACTGCGCTGTTGGTTGCGCCTGATCGCCCGCTCAAGTCAGCCGATTTCGACAACTTGGCGAGTTGCGAAGTTTGCCGGACCGTTTAAGAAACATTTAGACAGAACTGCGTCGTAACATTTCACTCGTGGTCTTCCTAGGCGATACTGAAGAGGACTGCATTGTTTTTTCAAAACCAAAAATGAAGCGGAGTTGCCCTTTAAGCACGTCAGCAGAAGTGAGGTCGAGTCGTTAAGAGTCAGATTGCCTGAGGCTCTGCGGCCCGGGATCCAGACTTCAGCCAGTTGAAGACAGGAGCAAAAGATTCCTGTTAGTACTTCATCGTTAAAAGTTGGAACCGCATTCCCACAAGATAAATCGTGATTTGATAGAACTGAAATGCGGTCCAATCCGAAACCTTGCCGGCCAGCAGCTCTCATGCAAGCGGTAGATCTGCTTGGCATACTTTAACCTTGCTCCTGCTTATCGCCTCGAATATGATAACTACGCTTAATCATAGTCTGCTGCTTCGTTATTGAGTTACACAATAGGATAAATTCGAAATTTATTGCCCTGTTCCTTCGCGCAACTGCACGTTCGTTGCTTGCGCACGTCACGTGATTCGCGCATGTAATTACTAAGACATAAACTGAAGTGCAGTGAAAACTTATCTGAGCTGCTCCTAGCCTGCTCCAGAATGTAGGTTCAGCTGCTCCCGTGGCTCCTCCCAAGTACATTTCATGAGTTCCAACCCTGTACAGATACAGATACCGAAAAATGAAAGTACCTAGGTTTTTATGTCAGGTACAACAAAGGTACCTAGATACCGATTTCGAGTTACTTGTACCTAGGTGCTTTACAACCCTGGCTGAGGCATGTCCTGTTTAAAAAAAAAAAAACTTTAGCCTTGTTGCTTTGCAGCATTGATGCATGCTGCACGTTGTAAGAATGGATAATTTGTTTGTGTAATTAAGCTAAGTGCTTCGGTAACGTGAGCAACAAGAGAAAAGTTTCTGTATCTTTAATGCTCTTACAGCTTTAAGCGATTAAAGTATTAACTCCTTGTCACCTTGAAAATGAATAAAGGCTTGTTTTTTTATCATCTTTATCGGAACACTCAATATTGATAAGGTTCTAACGTATTGCTCTTTTTTTTTTTTTTTTTTAGCTTTGGTCACAGTTTTTAGGGAACTTGAGTGTATTAAGGCACAGTTGACAAGCATGGCTACAATGTTGGCCAGAATACAGATGCATGTGAATGCTGATGACCCTACTGCCATGGCTGGTCCAGTCCATCCAGAAGACCTTCCAGTCTATCCAGTGAAGACAAGAGAGGAATTTGCCTTCCTGGAGGCTAGCTTAAAAAATGAAGCCATTTTTGCAAAGCTAGTAAGTTTCAAGTTGTTGTGCGTTACAGCCAAAGGTTATTATCCAGAACATACATGTACTGAAATAGTCATTGTTTTTCATCTTTCTTCTGTTCTTTGAGCAAGAGAAGGTTTTATGTGTGGCTTATTGTGGATAACTTTTGATTTCTAGGTGAAAGAGCTTGGCCAAATTGGAGGTAGAGATGTAGCCTCTACAACAAAAACGGTGTTTAAGAAACTTGTCGGAGATGAAGTTGCCGTCTTCTACAACAGAACCGGGCGAAACGGAAAGCAAGAAGCCGGGAAACTGAAGATCTTTAGCCTGATCTATGGTAAGAGTAATGTTTTTGTATCACTGTCTACACTATGGAGAGTAATGTGCTTGCATGCACCCGTCTTTTTTTTTTTTTTATTATTAAGTATTACTTTACAGTGATCGTTATAAAACTTCTGATAGCTGTGCATATTTTTTTCAGCTGCTGTACGTGTAACCCGCAAAACTGCAACAGACGACGAGATGGGCCGCGCCATTGGTGATTGGCTGCGCTTCGCCAACGTCCGGCTCCGTGCTCAAGGCAAGCAACAACCTAATCTTTGCAGGAAGGATACAAATACATTGAAGCTGATGATTAATCTAAAAATCTCCTGAGGCTTACAAAATGAAGAATGTAAACCATGCATGAGATCTGTAACACAGCGAAGAGTTCTATTGTACTATCGCTATACATTGAAATACAAAGAAGAGAGCTTGTGGCTTTCTACAAATGCTGCACAAACTGGCCACGAGCCAGCGAAGCTTGCACATGTGTAGTTCGACCAAGGACACTAGATTAATCTCCAACTCTTGAATGCCTTGACTGGTGCCTGGTGTGTAAGCAGTGTACTGAAAGTTATGCGCTTTGTGTTCATATTGCAATGTATTGCAATAGTACATGCTCACTTGTATCATTGCCCCTCCCAATCAAATGCACCAGCAGAAGCAGTGAGCACAACTACAAAATAACGAAGGAAGCTTTGTTTACAATAATTTCTTATTGGAAAAAAGTAAAAATTGGTTTTCTAACATACAGAATGTAGCAGCCGAATAAGAAAGTTCTGCACTCAGCTTGATTTTCTTTGTCTTGCTTTCCTAGAAAATAGGGCAGTAAAAGTATTTCTGACAGCCGTTTGTGGGACTGATTGTGTGTTGCTATTGGGTGAGGCCAGCTGAACATACAAGATGACAACACAGAGAAAATTAGACAAACACGATGCTGGACTAAACTGTTTAATGGAGTGCATTTTTATTCATTTACACAGGAGCAGGTTGGCCCCAGACGGGGCCAACTGGTTCTTTTGTAAATAAAGTATGTGGATGAAGTTAGTCCGGCATTGTGTTTGTCTCATTTTCTCTCTTCCTGTTTTTGTGCTGTAGGTTCATTTGGCCCCATCGACAAGCGCTGCACCAACAAGCTCAGCTCCGGGTCGTCACAAGGTGTATTTTGTCGCGTGTTTCAATGTTGGTTTGCTTGAGCAGGAGGACTGACAACTACTAGGTACAAGTGACTCAACAACAAATTAAAGGATTTGATAGCATGTTGGTGGGAGTTAAGAAACAAACAAAAGAGAGACACTTATGGCAAGAGATGCCACGGGTGTACAGTTCAACTAGCAACATCAATAAACTACCACAAGGCATTATTTTATTTTTGCTAGTTGAGAGATGTACCTGTGTTGTCTCTTGTCATAAGTGTTTGCTACTTTGTTTGTTTTTTGCAATCAATTCACTGTTTTAAGCACTTGAACAAGATTGTCATTTTCTTTTAGTTCGTAGTTATGTGGGAAATCAGGTCAGCCTTTTTGCGGCTCTATATGAACTCTCTTTCCCACTAGGATATTTCTAGTACACCCTAATTTCTTGAGGGGTTTCCAAACCTGCAAACCATTGTCACAAAGCTAAATTTCGAATTAAGCTACACTGTTATGTTTTCCACGTATTATGATCATTTGCCACCTCAAATTTAGTTTCCGGCACTCTGTATTAATTATTTTCTTGTTTTGTTTGCAGCCTATTTCATATTCTATTGTCATATTTTACTTTTTAAAGTGGCAATAAGGCTATTTAATGTCTCGACTTCTGTTCTAGTCTAGTGACAGGCTTTACTGTGGTTTGACTTGGGAAGATGAAAGTCTGTTTGTTTTAATTTTTTTTTTCTGTCTAGTCCTGTTCTAGAGTTTCTTCAGCCTATTTCATATTCTATTGTCATATTTTACTTTTTAAAGCGGCAATAGGCCTATTTAATGTCTCGACTTCTGTTCTAGTCTAGTGACAGGCTTTAGTCAGTCCTTTCCGGCTTTTCTTTAATACGATACCGTTTTAGTAATCAAGTTTTTCTAACTGCTTCTACACATGGCAATTGTATATAGTGCCAGCTGGACATAAAAGGATTAGAGAGAGATAAGAAAGACACACCGTTGGACTAGCAACTGTTTAATCAGATCATCTTTTTCTTCATCTACGTTGAGTTTCTCTTCTTTTTTATCTACACTGCATTTGATTTAATTGAGGAGTTCCTTTTCTTCTAGTCTTATACTCGAGCGTCTCCTCGTCTTCCATTTGTCCACCATGGGTGCGGCCCCTCTAAGATACTCACCTTCCTTGTGGTGTAGTGCGATGGAAGGTATACCCACACACTTGTCCGCTTTTGCGTCAATAGCAAAGGCCTCCAGGATTTCTCGAGTGAACTTGTGGCGGTTTCTTGCCAGGATGTTTAGGCTAGAAAAGTCTGGTACACACAGGCACATATGACAATGGGCAGGTAGGTGCTCTGCACGCTGTGGTGGCCTTCACCGAAGCTGCATGTTCTCTCGTCTAGTCACTGATGCACCTTCCCTTCTGTCCAATGTAACATTGACTACATGACATGGGATTTGGTGCACAACCTCCTTCTCACATTTGGTGTACTTGGCAGTTCATTTTCTCCTTGTTGGCCCTCTTGTTTACATGATGAAAAATTGCACACAAAGAGACAAGGGAAAAACACAGAAGTCAGAGAGGCGCATACTCGCAACTCTGGTATATTAAGTGAAGAAAGAAAAGATGAAGCACGATTCATGACGGGGGACATCAACACCAGGGGGTAAACAGTTCAGTCATAGTGAGGTGTTCGCAAAAAGGCAACTTCTTTTTCGCTCAAAGCAACCGACGGCTGACTAACGCAGAGATCGGTCAGACTCAAGATGGTGAACGCATCGAGCACCTCGCGCGTTTGTTTATCATTAAAGTGCCCAATGATTGAGATTTTTTTCTAAAGATGGTGTGCAGATAGAGGTCTTACAATGCACCAAAAGGTTGACCTCATACAGTTTATGATCGTGCTCTCGCAGCCAGTCATTCAAACACTTTCTAGTCTGTCCGACATAGCATCTTCCACAGGGAAGAGGAATGCTGTACACTACGCTCAATGAACGAGGAGTGAAAGGCTGCACATGTTTTTTGTGGCGCGTGTCTTTGTCGCTTTGGCGCAAACCTTAGAACAAATTTGTCACATCTTTTTAGAGGCTGATAATACTACGGGCACACCATACCTACTTACCACTTGTTTTAGATTATGCGATATCTTGTGTAGATACAATCTAAAACAAGTGGCAAGTAGGTGTGCTGTGCCCACAGTAATATCAGCCCCTAAAAAAATATGACAAATTTGTTTAAGGTCTGCGCCAAAGAGAACAAATTATAAAAAACACGTGCCACAAAAAACATGTGCAGCCTTTTTTTTCCTGTTCATCGAGCGTTGTATACAGCATTCCTCTTTCCTGTGGAAGATGCTATGTCGGACAGACTAGACAGTGTTCGAATGACTGGCTGCGAGAGCACAATCATAAACTGTATGAGGTCAACCTTTTGGTGCATTGTAAGACCTCTATCTGCACACCATCTTTAGAAAAAACCTCAATCATTGGGCGCTTTAATGAAAAACAAACGCGCGAGGTGCTCAGGGCGTTCACCATCTTGAGTCTGGCCGATCGCTGCGTTAGTCAGCCGTCGGTTGCATGAGCGAAAGAGAACTTGCCTTTTTGCGAATATTCCTCTGCGACTGAACTCGACCCCCTGGTGTCGATGTCCCCTGTCATGAATCGTGCTGTCTGTCTTCTGTGTTCCTTCCTCGTCTCTTTGTGTGCAACTTTCCATCATGTAAACAAAGGGACCAACAAGGAGAAGACAAACTGCAAAGTATCTCACGAGACCAAGCACACCGAATGTGAGAAGGAGGTTGTGTACCAAATCCCACTGTCATGTGGTCAATGTTACATTGGACAGACGGGAAGGTGCATCGGTGACCAGACTAGGGAACATGCAGCTTCGGTGAAGGCCACCACTGCAGCAGGGGACCTACCCGCCCATTGTCACATGTGCCGGTGTGTACCAGAGTTTTCTAGCCTAACCATCCTAGCAAGAAACCGCCACAAGTTCACTCGAGAAATCCTGGAGGCCCTTGCTATTGACGCAAAGGCAGACGAGTGTGTGTGTGTGCCTTCCATCGCACTACACAACAAGGAAGTTGAGTACCTTAGAGGGCCGCACTTATGGCGGACAGATGGAAGATGAGAAGATGCTTGGGTATAAGATTAGAAGAAGAACTCCTCAATTAAATCAAATGCAATGTAGATAAGAAAAAAAGAGGAAGTGAAACTCAATGTAGATGAAGAGAAAGATGATCTGATGAAACAGTTCCTAGTCCAGCGGTGTATGCCTTTCTTATCTCTCTCTCTAACCCTTCTTTTATGTTCAGCTGGCACTATATAGAGCAATGAGCCAACTAGCTCAGCTTCAAGCTTCACCCGCTCTAGTCACCACTTCTACTCAGTTTCAAGCTTGTTTCTGTAGTACATACAGATTTGTCTTAAGTTATTGGCTTGTCATTTTAACAGCTGAGTCTAGCAGCATCCTTACTCGTATGTATATGCTTTTGGTTTAATTTGAAACAATAAATGTTTTAGTACATGTACCTGACTGATTTCATCTTTGCAAGGGTAGTAAATTGCAATTATTTCGTCTCAATATGTGCTGTGATGAAAAGGAGCTTGTTAATTCTAGCGTTTTTGTTAATAGTGTGCAATATTGTGCCTTTCACAAACATTCTTTTCCTCAGTTAACGGACATGCTACGATCAAGCTTCTTCAAAAGGTGCATACAGTCAATTCTCTCCCGTTATGTGTATTGCGCACTGGAGTCCGGTGGTTCATCTTCTGGAAAACATTGCTATGTATGTGAAAAAGGACCTCCTCGAAGACCCAGGACGCAATATTTTGTTGCAAGTCTTAGCTTTTTCAGCCCTCAGAAAAGCCATGTCTGTAGTGAAACACTGCCTGTCGTTGGGTTTCAAGGAGGTTCCTTTCCAACACCCTTCTTTCAGCTTTGACTACCTGCAGTTTTGTTGGTATGCAAGTTTATAAAACATTAGATTCACATCAAAGAAAATGGTACTGCTACACTAGCAGAATATCCACAAAATGTTAGAAAGAACTTTTCAGTTGAAGACAAAAGTATTGTAATCAGACGCAGTTGCTACCCATGCAGTTCGCCTTGTTCACAGCAGAGGCGTAACTGCATGGGTAGCGGTTGCGTCTGATTTATAATATTTTTGTCTTCGTCAACTGAAAAGATCTTTCTAACATTTTGTGGATATTCTGCTAGTGTAGCAGTACCATTTTCTTTGATGTGAATTTAATGTTTTACAAACGTTGCATACCGGTTGTAAAAGTGTTTCTCGAATGTTCCTTCAATGTTAATTTAACGTTTTGCAAACATTAAATTTATGTTGAAGGAATGTTTCCTGTGTGTTCAAATAACGTATGGAAAAACATTAATCTAACGAACAGATAAACATTGTGGAAATATTAAATAAAATGACATTAAGGACATATTTCAAACATTTGGGCCAAACAAAAAAATAACATTATTATAATGTTTTGGTGCTACCTGGGCAATGACGTTTGAAGCAAACGATTCTTCTACGGAGGGGAGGTGGACCTTTTGGGGTTGGCCGGCGCGGGTAATGTGAACGGCGTGATGTCGCCGCGTCGTCTGCTGCGTGATGCCGCTCCGGCAATTTTTAGAAGTATTTTTGTTCCTACATGGCACACAATTTAGTGCAAATTAATGAAAAATGTTTCTTTATTATGTCAAAAACTATTATTGTTCCGTACATCCCCAAAATGTTGAAGAAAAACGATTTTCTCACGTGCCCCATGCATTTGTGACCGGAGTTGGAACCTCCGGGCGTTCGC